TTGAGGGAATGAGAAATATGGTTACATTTGGCCCAGCTCTGCTCTGCTGCAGGTCCCAGTGTCTCCTGATTTCATGGCCACTTCCTGCACACACACAGAGATAGCCACTTGCTCCCCCAATTATGTTCTGATCCTACAAAGAGGTCCTTCTGATGGGCACCAACATATCCTGCTTTAATGCACCCCTAAGATTTCTGTAGTGAAGTCCATAGGGCTGTATCCTACAGGGCACGGACTTTATAAATCAAATTTTCCTTATTCTACTGTAAGGGCAGCAATGACTGAGATGACTCCATTTTGGATGAGGGAGGCACTTTCAAAGCAGACATCTAAGGAGGCATGGGAAACAACAGACTTCCCAGAGAAATAATGATCCCCTTACCAAAATAATAAAATGTAGTTGCACAATGTGGATGGCAGACCTCAAGACCAGGACGAGTTGATCAGACCCTCCGGAATGGCCAGTTTGATAAAGAGAGGGATGGACAGGTGATCAGATTTAATAAGTTGACTAGGCGCCAACGAATCACAAATATAATTTCAAGGTAGAGTAGTAGTTGGAATTAAGCCAATTAACGCCCTATATCATCTCCTAGACGTCAGCCTTTCTTTGACTTAGCTCTTTCACTAAGTCCCTCCTGTCAGTGTGCTGCTTTACTGTCCTTTTAATAAACTTTGTGCTTGCCTTAAATTTTTTTTTTCTTTTGCAGTACTGGGGTTTGAACTCAGGGCTCACACCTACAGTCACTCCACCAACCCTTTTTTGTGAAGGGTTTTTTTGAGATAGGGTCTCATGAACTATCTGCCTGAGCTGGCTTCGAACCTTGATCCTCCTGATCTCTGCCTCCTGAGTAGCTAGAATTACAGGTGAACCACTGGCGCCCAACCGCTTTAACTCTTAACTCCTGGTCTGGCATCTTCAATCATCGACTGTGCCAGGACACGAACTTGGGAACTCCAGTGTCACTACCAGTGATATGAGCCAGGTCACAGCCTGAGAGTTGGTAACAACCCGAACCCAGAGGCAGATGGCGTGCACTTCACCCTCGGAGCTGATTTGTTCTTTCCTCCGCCTTCACAGCAGCAACCTTCAAACAGCATGCAGCTTGTTCACCTCAGAACTGCCATTCACAAACCAAAGGGCTGTGAGGGTCCATCGAGCTTTTATAAGGCAGTGGAGCCCGGCAGCATCTTGGGTAGGAGGGGAAGAGACCCCCTGCTTCTAAACACACTGAGTGCCTCCGTGTCCCCACCGCGTCCTGCATTCCCCACGCAGGCACGCTTCCTTAGGGAACCTCTCCTGGGTGCTGCCCTCCCTCTGCTCCAGCGTCACTCAAGGTGCCATAGGCGGTCAGGTGTCAGGAGTGTCTTCTTGTGTCCTCCAGTTTTAGGGGCAATTTCAAATAAAATTTGATAACAAGGTAATAATTATCTCTCAGCTGGAAATCATCAGTCCAAGGTCTCAGCAATTGTGCCAGGCAGGTGTCAAAGGCTGCTGCTCTAAGCCCAGTCCACACTCCACACAAGGTAAATGACCTTTGCGCACTTATTAATTCCCTCTTGGAATGTGTAATCGGTACTGCCTGATGTGGGCATTTACCCTGCCTGCTGCTTTACGATACTATTTACAACATGGAAAACATTCTTTGGTAGATACAACGTCCACTTCCACAATACAGCCATTCACAGAAACCCTATTCAAACAGGGGCTGGAGGTGTAGCCCAGTGGTAGAGCAAATGCTTAGTGTGGATAAGTTCACCCAAACTTTCACTTTAATCATACCAGCTTTTTTTTTTTTTATAATACTAGAATTTGAACTCAGGGCCTCTCACTTGCCAGACAGGCACTCTACTGCTTCAGCCACACTTCAAACCAATTCTTGCATTGCTAACTGTGGCCCTCACTAGGGCAACACCAGTAGGTTTTGCTTTTTATTTTATTTTAATTTTTTTTTTTGGTGGTACTGGTGTTTGGACTCAGGGTCTTGTGCTTGCTAGATAGGGGCTCCACCACTTGAGCTACCCCACCAGCCCTGTTTTGTATTGTTTTTTTTTCTGAGATAGGGCCTCACAAACTATTTGCCCAGGCTGGCTTTGAACTGTGGTCCTCCTGACCTCTGTCTCTTGAGTAATTGGATTACAGGCATGAGCCACTAGCTGCTTTAGTTATTTTTTTAATAGGGTCCCAGGTTTATGCCCACGTCAACTAGGACCTTGATCCTCCTATTCACACTTCTCACGTAGCTGGAATGACAGGTGCACACCACCACGCCCAGCTTCTTTTACAGATCGAGATGGGCTTTGTGAACTTTTTTTGCCTGGGCTGGACTTGAACGGCGATTTTCCTGATCTCTACCTTCAGACAGGTTAGGATTAGAGGTGTGAGCCACTCCGCCTCTCTATTTGCTTTTTCCTTATGAGTTTGCACTGCCTTATTAGTTTTCATCAGGGTCAAACCCCCAGGAACTGGATCCAGCATCTCTAAATTCTGCTAGTAAGGAAACTTAACCTCCAGTAACTTAATGCAGCACAATTGCTACTGCATACCTCGGCGACTCTGACCACCCAGGAATTAAAACGTCCTCATCCCCTGACCTTTCATCCTTTGCTTCCTCAAACCACATGTTTCAGTGAGTCTGTGTCATTCTTGTGCATCACACATTGTCTGACATCAATTGAAACTTAATTCTGGCACAAACCACCTGGAGTTAATGCAGATTCCACCACAGGTTAAGGGATTGGTCCCCAGTGACACCGTCCCCCTCTCGTTTTGACAACAGCCACCCCAGTTCAGGGGTCCCCAGATCACCCCAGTTCAGGGGTCACCCAGATCATCCCCAGGCCGACTGGTGACAAACATGAGGGTTCCCACGAGCTCCTCAGATTTCAGTCTGCCAGAACTCAGAACTTAGGAAAGCACCGTACTATGATCATAGTTTATTACAAAGGTGCAATGCAATTTATTATCACGATTATAATTTTATTATTATGCTTCAAATCAGGACAAGCCGGAGAGGCACAGACAGATGGAGAAGGGTCTGAGAGTCTTGACCACTATTTGGTGTCATTTTCCTGTGGAATCACAACACTTCACCCCCCCCCACCCCACTCATCAGTGTGTCCCCAACTAGAAAGCTCTGCCAGTCTCTGGAATTCAGAGTTTTTATCCAGGTCTCATTACATAGACAAGAGTCACTGAACAACTGGTCACGTGGTTGAACACAGTCTCTAGCTATCCTCCCCTTCCTGAAGGTCAAGGGGCTGGGGTAGCATGTCCTTCCAACCCTCTCAACACACAGCCAGTGTTCCTGGCACAGCCTGCCCCTCAGTCTGAGTCATCTTGGGAGCATAAGTTACCTAGCCCACCAGAAGTCACCGCATTCACCTAAACTTTAAGGGCCCACCATGAACAACAAAGATACTCCTTCCTGGGTGAAATTCCAAGGGCTTTAGGTTACCTTCCAGAAACACAGGTGAGTTCTTCCTTATACTGCAAGTAATGAAGTAGCGAAGGCCTGGCTCCACAGGCCTGCTGCACTCAGACACTGCACATTGCAAAGAAAGTTCTGGTTCCTGAGCCACGCTGAGAGGATTTCATTAAGACACTGACTGGAATATGTAGCTTCATGGGTCTTGGTCTACCTGGGACGTTGGACATGCCACATATTTTATGCCAATGGTGTGGTTTATGCTGGGGGCTTTTGCCATCAGAGTCAGTTTGACCTGTGGAGACCTAAAGGCTGAGGTCAGCCTCTCCATGCTTCTCTCAATGACTCCCCAGAAAAACTCCATGCCAAGACTGTCGTCACACAGTGTGGCTGGAAAAGGAAGCACTGTCTGTAGAAATTGCTGGGAGAGGACACCTGGGAGACCAGACTCCTTTTTTCCTGGATCTGCCCTACATGTTTGTGCCTTCGATGGCTTTTGTATGTGTGTCCTCATGATAATAAGCCATGAGTGTGTGTGTAACCAGCAGGGGGTCTGAGCACACCCCTGGCCTCAGGTCCAGCATGCGCACAGAGGCACTTGGCAAACTAATGAATACTGGACGAAACACTCCATCACCCAGCCTCGGTGGAGTCATGACCAAGACTTGGGACACAGCCTACTCATTGTCCCAATACTTCCTCTCCCCTCACACTCTACAGAAGATCATCACAAGCATTAACTGTTCGATTTTCAAAATATGCCCCCCATTGACCCACTTGGCACCATCCCCTGTCTTACTGCTGGAGCCTGAACCCTGGTCCCCTTTTTGCTGGAGCCTCCTCTTACCCCTGACCTGTTCCCATCTCTGTCCCAGCCCTGTGGGCCTTTCTGACCCTTGAAAGGTGCTTCAGGGCCTTAGCACGGCACCTTCCACGCCTGGGCTGTTTCTCTCCCCACTTGCTCAGAGACGGCTCCTTGATGCTGCTGCTGCTGAGACAGGCCCTCATCCTCTCCAACACCCTCTGTTCCTCCCCCAGCAGTCCCGGCTTCGCTGTGGTGAGAACCACGCTTCTCTCTGTCTTGAGCTGTCTGCACTGTTCTGAAAGAGCTGGTGAGGTATGTGGTGTGGAGAGAATTCTGTCAGCCCATGTGGACTGAGCAGTGGCCGACACCCTGTGTCTGGCAGGAGGTTAGGCTCACTCATTCCTGTGTTTTCTGATGGAAGCTGAGGCTCAGGAAGAGGAGCTGACTTGCTCTGGGGCACACAGAGAACATCAGATCAGGGCTTAACCCCAGGGGTCTTGACAGGCCTGGGAAACTGGGCAGAGAGCTTTCTAGAACAATTGAGAGAACAGCAGTGCTCAATCAAGGAGCAGCTTGGAGGGCAGGATCAGCTAGTGGGCTCCTGGGTGGTACAGAGGCAGCTTCAAGCAGCACCCCTGGTCCCAGGACTGGATGTTCTGTGCCTGGCACAGAACCTACCACATAAAGAGACCTGACTTTCTTGCCTTCCCTCTGAAGGGCTGATGCTCCGAGCCTGAGGCTCAACCCAGTCTCGCCTACAGGCCTACCTCTCACACGGTGGGGGCAGGGCCTCCTGGGACATCAGCCCCAGCCCCAGCAGAAGCAGCAGGTACAGCTCCCAGGTCCTCCTGGTCATGGTGGCTGTGACAGTGACTAAATGAGCAAGCTCTGCACCTGTGGCTGGCTGGACAAGGCCTGGCTCACTTGCCTCACCAAGTTTGCCAAAGTCCAGGCTTGAGGCGTGGCCACCTGAAAGGATGTGTGTTTGATCTGCGTGGTCAACTTGCCCCTCTTGCTCTTGGGCCACCATTTGACTTTTTTGCCCCTACCCTTTCTTAGTGTCAGCTGGTGCCACTGGCTCACACTCCTCCTTCAAAGTCATTTAGAAGGAGACAAGGGATTTGGCACCTGAGGCCAGGGCATGATTAAGGCCACATAGCTATAAGCTAGATGACAGTTCTGTAGGTGGCATCAAAACACTAGCCTCAGAGAGAACCATTTCCTTTAACCTTTTTTTTTGGCCATACTGGCGTTTGAACTCAGGGCCTATGCTTGTCAGGCAGGTGCTATATTGCTTGACTCATTCCAGCCCTGTTTCATGTTGGGTATTTTTAAGATAGGGTCTCACAAACTATTTCCCCCGGGGGGCTGGTTTCCAACCGTGATCCGCCTGATTTTTGCCTCCTGAGTAGCTACGATTACAGGTATGAGCCACTGGCACCCAGCTCCTTTAACATTTCAAACAGAATGGCTCAAGATTCTGTCCCCAGTGTGGTATCAAACTCAGGGACTCTCACTGCTATCTACAGAGTGCTGTGGGAGCATAGGACAGCCTAACCATCTTGTCAGAGGAGAGACCAAACACACTGGTGACATTTGCAATGGGTCTTGAAGATTGCTTAGGAGTTTGCCATGGGAATGGGCAGGAGGAGACCATTGCAGTGCATGAAAAGCCAACTGTTAAAGGGCAGTGAGAGGCTCAGTTGGCTCCAAAGAACTTGGCATTGGTGCAGGGGAGGCTGGGAGACAAGCTGGAGGGACACCAGCCTGTGAATGGCCTTGGCCAAGCCCAGGAGGCAGCTGGTTCCCCAAAGAGGAGCCAGCAGAGAAGGCTGTGGGCAGAAAGAGCAGTATCTGATTTGCTTTTGGAAGAAGGTCATCCCTGATGGGCGGGACAGGGACAGGACTCTGGAAGATGAGTGGAGGGAAGGAGGGTGAGGCAGGGCCCTTAGGAGGCTGGAACAAGGACCAGCAAGGCAGATGCCCAGAGCTCAGGCCTGAAATAAACAGGGGGAGGAGGGGAGGCACAGGGAGGAGCTTACTGTTAGCTGTCACCTCTGACCTTAGTGACGGCTGTGGCTTCTTCTGTCACTTGGGCTCAAAGTCAATAGGTTTCACTTGTAGCATCTGAGCAGTGATTGTCACTGTTAAAAGAAAAATTTTAGACAAATTAACTTTAGCAGTGTTTATTTGAGAAAAGAAACAATTCAGGCACCAAGCAGAACCTGGAACCAGAGTGTTCCAGCACCAATAGGACAGACAGTATTTATAGACAGCGAAAGTGCAGTAGGGAAATGCCCTGATTGGTTATCACTCCATATTTGCCTTATTTGGACATATCTGAGCAATCTGCAGCCCATGATTGGCTGAAAGCTCAGCTGCTGTGATTGGCTGAGACTTGGCTACTTGTTAGAAAAGTAAACATTCAAACCCAGCTATAGTTGTTTACATACTAAGTTTGTTTATAGTTTGCAATGATATGGAAGACTTTAGGCCAAATTGAATTATTCTCCCTGTTTAGGATTGTCTCTCATTTTTTTTTTGGAAATTGACCAAAACCTTAGACACCATCACATTTTTTTGTCACCATCATAATGAATTTGTTTGGTCTCAGTACAGAATTCACAATTTACATAACAAACTACTTGGTCTATTATGCCTTCTTCCAGTTTTTGCTATTCATAGGAGAGGATTTGCTAGTCAAAGGATGATTGCATAGGAGAACTTGGGATATGTAACCACACCAGGCCACTGTCACCATGGGTATCAGGAGGATGAGTGCCAAGAAACTGAAGTACACTCCTTCACAGGAGGCTTCATGAGCTTACCTGATCAAAATCAGACAATGCAAAGTTCAACAATAAAGCTGGTTTGAGACTGGGCGCTGGTGGCTCACGCCTGTAATCCTAGCTACTCAGGAGGCAGAGATCAGGAGGATTGTGGTTTGAAGCCAGCCCGGGCAAATAGTTCAAGAGACCCTATCTCAAAAAACTCTTCACAAAAATAAGACTGATGGAGAGGCTCAAGGTGAAGGTCATGAGTTCAAGCTCCAGTACTGCAAAAAAAAAAAAAAAAAAAGCTGATTCAATAGTATTCTAGGCCAACTGGTCATGACTGGGATGACAGACCTTGGTTCATTATAAAATGGCCTGATTTAAAGAGGTACCTGTTTTTGTTGTTACCTTGGTAACACAAGCCATAGCAAGCTGGGGGACCATTGTGATGGTTTGGATCTGAAACGTCCCCCAAAGTTCACATGTTGAAGGCTTGGTCCCCAGTGCAGCAGTGTTCATTTTGGGAGGTGACTGGATCATGAGGGCTCCGACCTCATCAATGGATTAGCTCATTGATGGACTCATAGTTTAGCAGGCTATTGGGAGGTGATACAAGGTTTAGGAGGTGGAACTGTGTTGTGTTGGAGGACTAGATCACTGGGGATACAGCCTTGAAGGGTAGATTTTGTGGTATTGGGGTTTGAACTCAGGGCCTCAGCTTGCTGAGCATGTACTTAGCACTCTACCACTTGAGCCACTCTGCCAGCCCAATCCCTGCCTCTCTCTCTCTCTCTCTCTCTCTCTCTCTCCCCTCGCTTCCTGGCTGTCATGAAGCGAGCAGCCTCCTCTGTCACATGTTCTACTGCCATGATGTTTGGGCTTCACCAGAGGCCCAGAAGTGACAAGGCCAACCATGGACTGAAACATCTGACACCATGAGCCAAAATAAACCTTTCCTCCTTAAATGTGTACCTCATGTGTGCTTTCTCCTAAGAAATTCCCCAAATGTATCCAGTGGCAGGGTGTATAGAAAAGGCAGTATTTGTCACCTTTTAAATTAAGCTTTTTGTGGTAGTAAAATCGAGGAAAAGGTAGGTGTGATATTCCGTTTCACCAAGTGTAAGCTAGCACTCCACAAGGCTGCACAAGTGTTTCTCTAAATACTAATGTTCCCATCACTTCTAGAGAGTGTCTTTTTTTTCAGCACTGGGGTTTGAACTCAGGGCCTCGTGGTGGTTAGGCAAGTGCTCTATCACTTGAGCCACTCTACCAGTCCTCTTCTTGTATGGTGGGTTTTTTCAAGATAGGGTCCTGTGAACTGTTTGCCTGGGGCTAACTTGGAACAGGATCCTCCTGATCTCTGTCTCCTGAGTAGCTAGGATTATAGATGACAGCCACAGGCGCCTAGTTGGAGAGTGTCTTCTGATTGGCTAGGAAATTCAAGATTTCCTCCCAAGCTACAGATTAGCTTTAAATTCCATGCAACTGGCACCCCACTACCAAGAGTGAACCCTAGAAACCCTTTTGGAACTATTTTCAGTGGAGCTAACTTACCTTCATCTATTTTGAGGTTGGCACTGATTTTGGCTACTCATCACTTTGGCCTCTGGTTGTGGGGGGTATTTTGGGAAAGCTATTTGGAAGGGAAGAGTGAATCAGGCTGAACCAACAGGCAGACAGACAGTAGGCCCAATACAGGAACTGGTTAAGAGCGCCACCTGGTGGCGCTTGAACAGAGTTGAGTTAAATTTGCCCATAAATTTGTATAGCTCCAGAACAAGATCCAATAGGAAACTTACTTTATTGTGGCTTCCACATAGCATTCTGTAAGGCTGCACAGGCACATTTAGTGGAAAGAAACCTTGTTGGGTTTTACACAGTGATATATACAAGCTACCTAGAGGTAGCCCCTGGTCAGGAGCACCTGATACACAAAATACCTTTTGCAGGTGTCACTCAGACAGGTTTTGTATCATATCATAATTATGTTATTCGTGGAAAATCTCGGGATGCTGTATTAATCGACTTTGCATTACTATAATGAACTACTTGGGGTAATTAACTTATAAAGAGAAAAGTTGTGTTTTGGCTTTCAGTACTGGTGGTTCCCGTCCAAGATTAAGTGGCCCCATTGCTTTAGGTGAGGGTGGCACATTTTGGTGGGAGCATATGGCAAAACAAACCACTTACATCATGTGCCAGAAAGCAGAGTGAATCTGAGATTAGGATCTTACAGTCTCCTTCAAAGGGCACCCCTCCAGGGACCTACCCTGGGCCACACCTCTTAAAGGTTCCACCCCCTACCAACAGCACCATTTTGGGGACAAAGTCTTTAGCACATGGGCCTTTGGGGAACACACATCCAAAATAGAACAAGAAGTATCTCCAGCAAGGGCAGGAAGTCAAGTAGCATTGGCATTGTGGAACCAAACCCAACAATTGCTCTGGCTTCCCGCCTTTGTTACAGCCACCTGTAGATTATGGCCCCATGGATTTTCCTGAGGGGGCAGGGGAAGGGACTAGGACAGCAGGAATTCAGGGAAAAGTGGCAGAAAAGTCTTGATCCGGGGTCTTGGGAAAGCTGCACTCCTTCTGCAGTATAACTTCCCTGATCAGCTTCAGCTTAAGGCCCCCAGCAGCTGCACAGTTCCGGGAATCTGGAGGACCCGTTAAGAGCTGAGACATGAATCCAAGACTTGAGGCTCTGAGATTTTGCTGCCCAGAACAACATGGTGTGGTCTCTTCCAATGGAGTCCAAGGGCAGTGTTTTTCTGGTATAATTAAATAACAACAGGTCATGAAGTCTCTGATTGTCATCAGTTTGTGGGTCACAGAGGGCTTCTTTTGGGCACAACTCACTGAAGCTTTGCACTAGTGAGTCACATTAGGGGCTGTGAGTGGGAGATGCAGATCTTTTCCCAGGAGCACAGACCTTCCTTAGGGATCAGATACGTTTTCCAGTGGGAGGGACTTGATGGCTTCCAACTGGAAACACCTGTGACCAAGGCAATCCAGTTAGCTTGGGCTAAAGCCACTGTGTTTGTATGAAGTGGGTTTTTGTTTGTTTGTTTGTTTGTTTGTTTTGGCACACTGGGGTTTAAAATCAGGGCTTTGAACTTGCTAAGCAGGAGCTCTATCACTTGAGCCATACCTCCAGCCATGCCACCATACTTACTGTAA